CGCCGCTGAGTCGCGGCTCCGGTGTCACTGTGCGCCCGCGGCCCCGCGTCGCGTCCCCCCGGGCACAGCCGGCTCTGTGCCCCCCGTCCCGCAGGCAGTTCAGTCCCCGCGGCTGCAGAGTTCTACAGGTGGCCTGAGCGATGAGTCTGAGAGCCACACACTAAGGAATGACTGATAGAAAGCCCTGAAAAGCACTGGGTTTGGCTGTTTGTAGGCTGCAGACTTGGTTTTGCGGATGAAAATTGGTGTAAACCTCGTCCTGTGTGTGGCTTTAGAATCAGAAGGAAAACCACGTTTTCCTTTAAGTAGTTAAATGCTCCTTGTTCACGTTACCTAACCAAACTTACTGAACAGAACACTACTTGATTATATTTCTGGACTAACCTATTTAGTCTTAAAAAGAGAGAGGGAAAAAGTATTCAAAAGGCACATGTGAGGATGAGCCAAGAGTCCTCTATCAGTGTCAGTGAGGCAGGATCCAAGGTACCATTTCTCTGCTCCTCAGCAGATGTTCATCTTTTCTGTTAGGTTTTCAACAAATTCTGTGACCTTCCAGGATATGCACTTATGCTGTTTTATTATTGTTATGATTTGCCATTCCTGTATCTCACCTAAAACCCTGTTATAGCACAAATCAGCGTTGTCTTGTGGGCACAGAGAACATTTGCTTCTTGTTGTTAAGCAGATGCTTTTCATCTGAAGACTATCTTTTTTTTTTCCATATTTTGATTCTTCAGTTTTTCTGTATGGTGGCATGTGTTATGTCTGTCTTTGATGGTATTTCCCCCTCCTTCCTTATGTCTTTTTTTTTTTTAAATACATGGTAATTGAAAGTAGCTATGAGGTCTCACCATTGTCAGCTAGTGTCAAATCTCTGTCTGGACTGTGTATCTCCTGTTAAACCCACAGAGTAGTATTTATCTAGTCATATAGTTAACACACATAACCCAGGGAAATATGTATAAGCTCACATGGAAGTGAAAAGTTCTTCCATTCAGGAGCAGTAAAATGGGAGCTACAGTGCTGTGTCTGCAAATCAAAAGGCAGATCAATCTTTTCACTCAGTAAAAACTTCCAGCTACCTCTTCCCTCACCTCGATCTGCCTGTTTGTGTCTCCCCAGCTGCAGTATCCGAGTGCTGAAGTGAGAGAGTATGCCTGTGCCAGTATTTCCAGGCTGCTGCAGCAGAAGCACATCATCCCAGCCTTCCTGCAGAGGGACGTTGTGAGGTGTTTGGGACCATTGCTGATGGATCACAGCTTGGCTGTCCGGGAAACAGCTGCGGGTGCTCTCCGGTAAGCAGCTCTTGCTGTGCAGGTAGAACGAGGCACTCCTGGCACAGGAGAGCAGACAGTGGGTTTTGCTGTTGACAGCTGTGAACTCAAATGCCAGTCTGTCCTGTTTGACCCCAGGTCTGAGTCAGTCTGCCTGAGACAGCTGAAGGCTGCAAGAGAGAGACTTTTCTTGCTCCATGAGACTTTAGCATCAGGAACAGGCTTTAGGCTAGTTACTGCCTTTTAGCCTGCTCTCAGTGGAATGCACTGCTGTCCATCTCATGTTAAGACAAAAATTTCCACAACAGTGTGAAGAAACACAGAAAACTTGATTGCAGTTCCTATGGCGTTTTGTGCCTTGATATTTTAGTACAGCTAAACCTTCTAGTTACATTGGATGGGTACATGAAAATAATGTTTTCTGCCTGACACCAAAGTAATTCTTTTGTGTTAGGAAGGTAGAAGACTAAAGTTACTGATTAAGCAGATTAATCTTAAAAAGTACCATAACTTTAGAAAAAATTACCAAATGCATGGGTTTTTTTGAAACAATCCCTGGAAAGTCTTGTGTCTGATCCAAAGCATTAATTTATCTTTTCCCCCAGAAATCTTAGTGCTTGTGGAGGATTTGAAGTCTGTGATGATATGGTGACAAACGACATCATGACACCCCTTGTTGCACTTCTGAAAGAGGTGTGTTTACTTTTATTCTGATTTTTAAAACTGATCTTGCCATTGACTTATCCCATTTACAAGAAGAGTTTGATTTTTGTAGCTATTATCAAGATATTTGAAAGATCTTTTAAAAGAATGTTTCAATAGGCTTAATAGTACAAAAATTAATCAAGGATTTCAAACCACTGACTTCTGTCTCCTGACTGGCTAACTTGGGTCTGTGATGAGGTTTGCTGCTTAAGATGATTTTTGCATGAGAGGTCTGGAGATTTTTGGGTCTGAAACATCAGTCAAGACAAGTTTATTCTGTCAGTCAAAATCCAGATCCAACACTTACGTTGCAGTGTTGTTCTAGTGAGGGTTTTTTGTGAGCAGTTTTGTTTAAGTGAAGGCTTGGGTTAACAGCTGTGTAGTTACTGTAGAATAACCTGTACTGAATACCTGTTCTTTGTTTGGTCCAGGTGTTGCAGTGCAGTTTGGAAATTGCATTGAATTCTGTCACCTGCTGTCTTTGTTTGAGCAGCCTTGAGCAATACCATCATTTCTGTATGTTTCTTTCCCATTTTAAAATGAGTAATAGCATTGTTGTAAAGCACAGCAAGATATTAGCTGGATTAATCTTTGTGATTAGAAAGAACTGTTGACAATTGCATACAGACTCTTAGCAAGCAGCAGCACTTCAGGTTCTAAAATTGCTAAGTATTTTTTTTTAATTAAAAATTGCTTTTAAGGACTACTGAGTGCTAAGTACTCTTAAGAGTCTTCCTACAGGAGAAAAGTTGTCAACAATTCAATTCCTCTGTAGCCTAATTTTTGTAGAGAATAGGAAACTAGTCAGGTTTTCTGGTAATAAACACTTCATGTGAGCATCTGTCCACTGACTGTGCTGCTAATATTTTAAGATTTTGCTTTTCTTCTTGACTTGTTTGTTTCCCAACCCTGGTTCTCTTGTTTGGTTGTAGTGTAGCGCTGGACTAGATACTAACCAGCTTTCTCCAAAGAAATGCAAAGAGGCTAACAAAAATTATGTTGAAGACATAGCCAATGAAGCTATCAATTTGCTGTGGAATATATGGTAAGTGCTGTGTAAACACTGACCTTTTAGGAAAGCTAAATTAAATTGTTCCTGAAATGGAGCATGGTGATTGAGGCAGGAAAGAAATTACTGTCCTGGAATGGGAAGATGTATTCAATAGATGATTCTGATTTGTGTTGCTTCCTTGATAATGGTGAGCCCTCATCTGATCTGAAATACTGAAATTATTTCTACCATGACACACTTTTCTAAGTGAAGGATTCTAAAAGTGCACAAAGTTGGTCATTAGTTTTAGGAGAGTGACAATTGTTTGTTTCCTATTTGTTGTTCATCCTGAGTTCTGATACTGTTTCCTGAACATGTTCTGTCATGGTCTTCTGTACAGTTTGGGTTGTGATGTCTTGCATGCAGTTCCTGTAAATCCTTATCATGATATGAGAGATGGAGAAAATTAAATTCTGAAAAGTGGACTCCAGTGCTCTGGGAATATAAGGAGTTTTTATACTACTTCCTCCCTCTGCAGGCCACCCAAAAAATTAGTATTAAATGTTTGGACCAGCTCCCCTTTAGTTACTGAGGCTCTGATACAAATCTACTTAATTATGTGAGAAGTAGTGTTAGTTGTTCAATTAGTAGTTTACACTGGAAGCACCAGGTGAGGGAAGAGAGATGACAATGCTATTAATATGGAAATGGCTATGAACAGTGAAGTGATGCTGAAAGTTCTTGAATTTTGGGTTGTTTCTCTAAATTTCTTAACAGCTTCACATCATTATACACTGGTGCAGACAGAATTTTTCGTGCTGTGTTTCAGTGGAGCTGCCTCTGTGCCTGTCTGTGTGCTATGGCTGCTGGCTTGAGGCCTTATTTCTAATTTGGGATTCTTTTATTTAGGGATTGGAATCTAGAACAGTAGAGAAACTGCTTGCTCAGCACCTTACACAGAACACATGACCCTTTGGAATTCTGACTCAGAATTGTGTGGTCATTCTCTTTTTCCTGCTTTTGTAGTCAGTGCTTTGGAACAGGAGCTATAATCATTAAGTGTGATATAAATCACTTTGTATCTCGAACTTTGTGGCAATGAACATGAACTGCTGACTTTATTGCTAAGTTTGGTGCTGATAAAATTGGGGCTGGCACTGATGGCGAGACAATATTTCCAAAATTAAATTTTTTAAGACCTTTGCAGTTAGTTAGTCCTATGCTTTTTTTTTTTTGTTCGTTTGAATTAGTCTTGCAGCAGTGTATTGGTTTAAAAAAAGAGAATATCTGAAAACTTGAAGAAACACAAATCCCACCATTAGATAATTGAAGTAAATGCATTTTGAATGGGAAGAGCAGGCATTTTCTGGAGAGAGTGAGTATTGATGCAAGAGGCAACAGCCTGCTCTGTTGTCAGTGGGTTTGTGGGTGAAGTCTTCTGTAGCTGCAGAAAGCCCTGGGCTGGCTGGTAGCCTGCAGCTGTAAGCTGCCTTTTGTGCTCAGGCTGGATCTGTCCACGTGAAACTGTATTTAGGCTCCCAAATAAAGCCCCAAACACTGTGTGTGAGGAAGCAGCTTGCAGAAACCAACTTTCCTCAAAAGTGTCCAGGATTTTGCAGCTTCTCTTTCTGCATGTTATTAAGGATAGCTCTTTGACTAATGCATAATTCCTAGCTGGTTTTTAAAAATGTGAGTACTAGTGAGTACACGGGACTTAAAATATTGTTACAGTAATTTTCTTCCTGGGAAAAGTGTTTTATTCATCTTTTTCTTGCATTAGTGAATGCAACCATACTGCTGTAAACATATTCAATAAAGAAGCATGTCTGGAGGCTGTGTTACATTGCATGAAGAAATTTTCCACGAATGTGGATCTGGCTATTGCAGTAGGTAAGTGGTAAAAGGAGAAGATAAGGATTTAGAGATAGATTCTTTTGTTTTACTATGTGCATGTAACACTGATGTTACATACATTGCATAATGCACCTGCCTTAGCATTGCTTAACTTGCACGGAATATAAGACCTTAATTTTTGAACAGCGTGTAATTCAGAAGTTGACATCTGTGGTGCTTGTTTTCACTCCAAAGGAGGATGGCTTATTGGGGATTAGGTGAGGAAAAATGGTGTGCAAAGATAGCTCCAGACAGAGGCTGTGGTTTTAGTTTTGGTTTGTTCTCAGGTTTTGGATATGGAAGGTTTAATTTGTTGAGCAGAGGATGTAGTCCATCTGAAAAAACCCCAAACAACTCGTCTCACTTTCAATGTGGTTTTATTAGTAGTATGGTTTTTATACTCTTGTAATGCTCATACAGGAGTGTGTGCTCCCAACCTTTATTATGTTGTCTCTAGTCAGTATACAGTGGAGAAACTAAGTTTTGAGTAGCTGAAATTAATAAAGCCAATTCCCTGTCTGATGTGGTATTGCCCTCACCTGCTTTATGTCCAGGTTTCCCATAGAATGTCTTTAAGGCATGGCTTGTGAAGGACAGTGTCATGCCATTCCAACATGATGCTGCATGAAATTTTTTTTCCTATGTCAGCATTTCATTGCTCCAGCTTTCAGGAAGATAATGCTTTCTCATTAGGAGAGTGAAAGCTGCTCTTGGGTTTGTTAATTAACTCTGTTCTTGTTCTTTGCTGCAGCAAACTGCTTGCAGGCAGTGACAGAAGATAATCCAGATCTTCTTTCTTCATTTAATTCTTCTGCACAACAAGTATTGGAAACAGTGATGATGTGTCCAGAGAGCACAATGAAGCATATCCTTCTGAGAACACTGATAGCAGGTACAGTGCTCAAGGGCATTCATTGCTTTGTGATGGAAAGCACAGCAGGCAGCAGAGGGTGGGAAGGACAGGAGGTTTAGTCTTCTCTGCTGTAGTCTGGACATCTGAATCCCAAAGCCTTACAGATGGTTCACAGGGTTGTATCTGCCTTTTGGAACTGCAAATGGATATTTGCAACTAGTTATAAAACTGTTTTCAATGCTTGATCCTGAATTCAGTCCCTGCTCAGTGTGATAACCCATTGCTTTGGTTTTCAGCCCTGAAATGAGTCAATAATAAGTGGTACAGGAGTTGTTTTGATCTTAACAGCTATAGATTTTTACCTCAGATTCTCTACCTTGCATTCTGCTTGCTACCTTAAATGCTTAACCATGGTGATTTTTGATAGTGGAGTGTAATAATTTTTTTCTGAGAATCCCTAGAAAATGGTTCTCTTGTGTGGATTTGTTATCTTGGGTACAAAGTGACACCAAGGTTGTTCCACATAAATATTCTGTAAATACTTACATGCTGAAATTTACTTGAGCTTCACATGTGGGCATGTAGCAGAGTTAATACAGGTGAGTATATGAAATGCTAACCAGAAAAAAAATACAAATCTGTGGAGAAAAGGCTTGGACATTTATACTGGGTATAAGCACTGAGTATTTTAAGCGGTGGAGGTTGTGTCCTTAGAGAATCTGTGGATATTACAGAGCTGGGAATTGAGTATTTTAATAACTTTTATGTTTCTGTTGCCTTATATTTAGGCACTATCTGGAATATCAAGGACACCATTCCGCCAGGCAGCCTGGGAAGCATGGTTAATGCAATCCTGAAGATCTTTTCAGAATCACTAGCAATAGATGCTGGTGAAACTATTATTCGTATGAATGAGGCTGAAAAAAACAGGTTAAAACTTACTGCAGAAGCAGAAACAGAGGAAAACATGAATGATGTTATGGACAACTGTGTTTTGAGTGAAGATGATAACATAGAAGAAATACCAAAAGGAGAACTCAGGGGAGAGATTGACATTTCAGATTTGCTTCCAGTAAGTGTGGCTGGTTGGCTCTTGGACAGCTTAGTGCTTTTGGCTGAGCATTGGACTAGTCTTGACTCAACATTTGCCAGAGCAAGTATTACTAATACTGGTTCCCAAACAGCTTGGCTAGTTTTGCTAAAACCTCAAAGGTGAGCGCGGAAAATTTCAACACAATTCGTTCCAGTGTGGTCAAGTTGCACAGCACACCAGGAAGGTGCATTTCCATGGTTTTCCTCTAGTGGAAGGTATAGGCTTACCTGACACTTCTACCTGCAGCTACTGCAGGAAGTTTCGATTTTGAGTGAGATTTGTAATGGTTGTAATCGTTCAGGCCTGGCTGGAGGTGGCTCAGAGGTCAACAAATGCACTCACTGTTGCATATGTGAAAAGGATAACAGAAATATATGTTAGGGCTTTAGCTAACGTTACGTAATCTTTTCTCTTCCAGCTTTAGTGCAGGTGGCATTTCTTGAAGATAAAATTTGCTCTGGAACATCCAGCAGAAAGGTGATAGATGAAACACCTCTTGGTTTGGTGGTTGTAGAAGAGGAAATGGCTGGATTGTCACAGCATGTGCTTTAAATTGCACGTAAATGTCGTTTGACAAAATCAAATTTGGTTCATGTTTTTATTTTCTAGTCTGATGAGTGGGAGCTGAAAGAAGTGACAGCTTTACTGACAGCTCAGCAGACTGCTCTGGAAATCGTCGTTAACATGTGCTGCAGTGAAGGTTTGTAGGAGTCTTTCATTGTGATGTGTTTTGTTTCTCAGTAGGTTTAGTTTGCTGTTGGGTCATCCTGGCTAATAAGGGTGAACTCATGTAGGCCTATTGTCCCTGGTATCCTCATCTAGGGGGGCAGATTAGATTGTAATGTCTATTACTAATTGAAGTGGTTTTTCATTTAAGTCATTTATGTTGCTGAAATATTTTTATGCATGATAGTACATGTGCCAACGTTTAAGAACAAACAAAAAAACCATTTGTGCCAAAAAGACATTTCCTGTAGTGTTGCAGCAAATTTTGGGTTCAGTTACAGTGTGGTCTGAATCTTCCTCTGATACAATGTGTGTGAATCTTACTGCAGAATGGGGCATCTTGTTTTTTAAAGCAGATCAATCTTGTGGGTTTGATTCAGTTTTGATGCTACGAGTGTTGCAAAATTAGGAGGAGAGACAGCTTTCCTATGCAACTCTGGCCACAATGTAGATGTGTGGGTTTGATTCAGTTTTGATGCTACAAGTGTTGCAAAATTAGGAGGGGAGAGAACTTTCCTATGCAACTCTGGCCACAGTGTAGATGTAGATATAGATGTTTTTGGCTACTCCAAAAAAGAGTTCTGCCAGTGTGAGCTGTTTTGGGGAGGAAGAAAGGCTGTTACTTGGAGGGGGTAGGACGTAGATGCTCTTTTATGAACTCTGATACTCAGTTCCTGTTTTGGGGAGGAAGAAAGGCTGTTATTTGGAGGGGGTAGGACGTAGATGCTCTGTCTTTTATGGACTCTGATACTCAGTTTTGATAGCTTTTCTCCTAATCTTCAGGAAAGCAGATGAGTGATTATCAAATTCTATTTTAAAAAGCCAACAACTAAACAAAACTAATCCCCCAAACCTGCAAACTTCCTGTTGCAGAAGTAACTGTGTAGGAGATAACTGAGTAAAACTTTCAGGTTCCAATAAAATCCTCAGTAATATCCAGTTATTCCCAGTGGTGATTTTTTTTTTTTCCCTCTTACAGTGCAAGGAAGTTCTGCACCTAGTATATGAGGCTTGTTTCATAACAGCATTTCTCATCTAATGAGCTGTAATTCATAAGCTCTGCCCTTCAATTGGAAAATCTCTTGTGGATAAGCTGCATATTCCACCATTCACTCAGTGTAATGTAAAGTTGATTGTGTTGTATCTCACTATGGCACTTTACCCATTCATGGGCAGACAGAAACACAGTCTGTAGAAAATCAGAGCAATCCAGAGGCAGCTGTTCATTTAATTTTCAAGTTATTTGAGGACTAAAATAGCTCCAACCATTATGCTGAGTTCATACAAACACTCGGTTTGCTACAGGACTGAGGGAAACGACCAGGCTGGCAAGAGATGTGTTCACTGAACACTGCTCAGTGTCTGGGAGAAGCAGAGTGCTCTCCCCTTGACAGGGACATGGGCAGGGAGCCAAGAGACTCCAGCACCACTGTGCAGTCTAGTTTGTGGGTTACCAGTGCTAGTTAAGATGGGATTGCCATTGGGAATGCCTCTGTATTTCCCAGAACATTACAAGAAACCTGATTGTAGTTATGGGCCAGTGCTCTAGAGCCAGGGCATTGCATTGTCAGCTCATGTCATTATAATTTAGTTTTCAAAGGAGATTTTTGTTTCCTCTGCTTTGCAAAGATGTGAATGGGATTGATTTAGAAGAGGCAAGAGACTGAAATGGGGATGTCTGCTTTGTTTTTGTGTTGCTTGCTGCTATGGTTTGGTAAAGCATAAACCAACCATTTTCTCATGCAAAGGCTATTTACACCATCATATTATGGCTGTAGAAGTAATTGGGTATTACCATAAGTAACAGGAGATGCCTGTGTGATCAAGCTGCCACAACTTGATGAGTTACTTTGCACCAGATAAACAGTAGCCATCACCTTCAGATACAAACTACTGCACAGCACGGGTGAAATGCTTTCATTTAGACCTTTCTTGCTGTAGTTTTAGTGAATTTACCTTTTGCCATGGAAGTCCATGGCTGTTAGTGGAGTTCCTACAGTACCTACATCTCACAAGGATCTGTGTTGTCAGACAAAATCACTCGGGGGTGAATATGATATTTTTATGTCACAGTAATTATGTATCCTGACCTATGCACACAGGCAGAGAGGGGGATCAGTCCAACCTGGACTTGTGTAAACAGCAGTTAAAATGTAACCAGGTTTAAAGCAACTTTAGATAAATCAGTGTGAACCCTGTGGACAGGGATATATCGGTTTACATATAAATGGTGAGCTTAGCTGGTGCCTGTGAGGCCAAGTCTGCCTGTAGCTGCAGACACATTATTCACTCCACAGTAGCTGTGCCTGTTGGTAATTCCACCTCAGCTCCTCTCTGTGTCTGTCCTTACAGATCTGCTAGTAGGCTAAATCATGTAAGTATAAACCTAGTTTAGGTTTAAGACTGTAAACCTAGTTTAGCTTCCTTAAAATACATTGCCTGAAATGACTGTTAGAGATTATTTGGCTTGTTTTGCTGTCATCATGTCCTTTCAACTGGTCTTGCTGTGGAGAGAGTTACATCTTCCTCCAGGCAGAGACATCTCCTGTGGCTTCAGTATTGCCAGAGGAAGCAGTTGACTTAAACTGACTGCAGTTAGTCAGCAAGTGAATTCAAACTGGTGTATTTGCATGCTTGAATGTCCCTCAGAAAGTGAAATGATACAATGCAAGTTAAAATCTTTGGATATCTATATGAAATGTTTCTTCTATGCCTTTTTTTGGTATTTTTAAGTGACACATTGTTAATATCAGAAATTGAAGTACCCATATATGAAGAACCTCTTTCCTAAGAATATTTGTTGCCTGAGTAACATATTTAGAACTGTGGCTTAATGGCACTCGATTTATGAGGAGTTCATTAGAGCCCAAGAGCTTAAAGATTCCTAAACCAAGAGGTGGAGCCAAGTGCAGCTGAGAAGCAGGATACCTATTGCATGAGAGCTGTTATATTTACAAGTCTGTCTCCTGTTCTCAGATCCCTCTGATGACGAATGGGAAGAACTCTCCAGCAGTGATGAAAGTGATTTGTTCATGGAAAACTCCTACAACGAGGCGAGTGGGATGCTAATGTCACCCCTGTGCCTCTCTGATGAGGTTAACTCAGCCTTTCTGAACAACCTCATTCCAAAGAAGGTATTGTCTTTTATTTTATTTCCAACACATGGCACAGTCTTTCCTTTTTTTCCTGTTTTGTATCCCAGGTTAGGCAAGCAAATTATCCCAATCCACCTGGAGGAATGGAATGTTTATTTCAATGAGTTTAGCTTCACTTTTTTTGGCCTAGAGGTAGTGCATCATTGCATGAGCTGTCTTGACCTAAATAATTTCTTCATGTAAGTGGGAATAGAAGGTTCATGTGTTTCAGAAGTCTGGTGGGGTTTTTTTTTTTTTTTTTTTCTTTCCCAATAGTTTGTTATTCCTTGATTTGGACATGAAAATAGTTACCTGCAAAACAAAAGGGAACTTTGGCAAAGCATGGCTGCCAGATTTCCATGTTAGCAAAATGAAGTAACAAATGTGAATGGCATCAGTCAGCACTGAAAAAGTGCAGGTTCCTCTTCCCCTGTTTTGTACAAATTGTCTGAAGTACAGTGCTTGACGCTGAGGAATTCAGATGTTTTTGTTTCAGAGTTGTTTGGCTTATTTTTATTTGGGGTTGTCAAGATGAAGTTTGTTATTTGAATCAGTTGCTATACTAATCCAGCAGCATTGTAGAATTCTGACCTAAGGCCTTCTAGACTTGCAGCTATCTGAAAATTCTGTGCCAGAATCTCTAAGAAGAAAGAGCCAAATAAGAAAGAATAGCCAAGACCTAGAGAATCACCTGTTACTCAGTACAGTTGGATACTTAAAATATGCTATGCTAAACCCAGTGTAAAATTGCAGCATTTGAATGAGTGAGGAAAATTCTGGCATTTTTAGGAGGTGAGACACTTGGTACCCAGAAAGCTTTGAAACTCACAGTTTGAAGTATCTGTTTGACATTAAGCTAAAATTTCAGTCTTCCCTCCAAACACATTATAACAACACCAGAAAAAAAATGGCTTTATTGATAAACTTTTCTTTTTCCCCTCCTCAGATTCTTGAAAAAACAGCTTTCCCGAACAGTGTTGCTCTAGACATCTGTATGCACAATCCATCTTGGAAACCATTAATTAAAAAGTAGGAATTTCATTGTCTCTCTTACTATTTTTCATGTGTATTCAGTTGTTTTAGAACTCTTAGAAGGATTGTCTATCTTTTGGGTTACCTTTAAGCACTGGACACTGTCAGATCTGATATATGATTTTGAACAGAGATGCAAATGTTTTTGTAAACTGCACACTGGATCACAGCCTTATTGAATTCAAGATTTGTCTTGATATTTGGACATGTGTTTTCCAAGAGATCTGCTAAGTGCATCTTGTGTCTGTTTTTTTGTTTCAGGCTGAATGCAGTGCAGTGTAGAGCTTTAACATGTCTTCATAGCATTTTATTAGTGTCGGATGTGGATTGTCTTGGAGGAGCTTCAGCACTTCAGTCCCTTGCACAGCATCTCTCACAGCTAGTCTTTTCTAAACCAGGTGAGGTGTTTAGTAAAGGGAACTTGCTGTGACCCTCTTTGCTGACTAAACCAGGTGAGGTGTTTAGTAAAGGAAACTTGCTGACCCTCTTTGCTGGTCATATAGAGAGATACAAGGTAGCCATGTATGTTGTTAAATTCTGATGCCATTTTATTACTAATTTTATTCCTTTGGCCTTTCAAAATAAGGATACTGAGTGTTGAAAATGTGCTGACAAAAACAGTGTATCCTGTTAAGATGTGTTTATCAAAACTGCATCTTTTGCAAGTCTGCTTGTAATGTAAGAATCTGCTTTACATCTGGGTCCATGCAGGGAGTCACTTAGTGAATGAATCCTGCCTTGCTGTGAGACCAGAACTGTTTGTTTGATCGTGTTGGTGATAATAGTTCTTCATCAATCACAGAAGCTATGAAGATGGGACAGTTTCTTTTTAAATGTGCTAACTAACTAGCCCAGAGAGATGTGAAGAAAAAAAAGGTTATCTAGTACAGTCTTTCACATCACTTTTTTTTCACCTCTTAAAGCAAAGGCAATTGTTGCAAAAGTCTCAAGAATGTACCTGCTTATTACAGTAGGAAAGAGAACAGCCTCCTTGTCTTCAGGACATGCTTTGTGCATGTGATGGCACAGCTCTATTGAAAATATATTTGTACTAAGAAAATGTGCAAAGTTTTTATGACTAAATATTAAAGCTGCTCAACTTCCTGTTCTGGTTGTGGTAGGATTTCAGCAGAGAAAGTAATACATTTCATTTTTCTAAAAATCCTGTTTTAGACTACCAGATATATATCCTGGTAAGCACTGTAATATATCCACTGTAGTTCCTTCAAGGTACACTGTGTCATAGGGATGCTGTGCAGGTTTCCCCATACATCTGCTAGTGCCAGTAGTGTTGGATGGTCTGTGCAGCAGTTAGCATTTCCAGCTCCTTTCTCTAATCTATGTGAGATCAGCATTGTTTCAATAATCCTGTCGGACCACTGAAGCTGCAATCTCTCTCTCACTGCCACAAGAGAAGCTGAACTGAGATAAGAAAAAGAAAACCCCACCTGGTTCCAGACTGGTGATGTGGGTCCCTGGCAATCTGAGTCCCTTGCATTCTGCCTCATTCAGACTGTTCTGATAATTTGTTTTTGTTTTAAGGTCAGTGGTGATGCCTTTCCAAAAAATGAGAGATATTCTTAGAGGCTGGAAAAGCCTGCCAATTCTCCAAATTGTCAGAAAACGTTTTCCCTAAGACAGCTCTGTTGAAGTCTAGCATATGTGTGGCTTTGTCATTTCTTGTCTCTTAGAAACTTGAGAAGCTCATTTTGTTCCCTTCCTTCAAGCATCTCCCATTTGTAGCCACAGATGCAGAGTATGTAGTTCTTTGCTGTAGTGTATAGCATGACACTGCATTAGTGCTGCAAAATGCATCTGCCTGCAAAACACACTTTTTTCTTAGTGTCTTTGGAAGCATGTGATCAGTCCATGGGAGCATTGCTACCGAGGGTGTAGTGCTTGAAAAACTAACATGCAGATATGACAGTACATATAGAGACACAGGCAAGGAAGTGCACGTAAAATACTTGTCTCATGTTTGAAGAAATGACTTCCAAGATTTGGGTGTACATGTTATGCTTTGCAATAGTCAGGAAGTTCTCAGATGGAGCTGGGGAAGTGGCTAGCTGAAGACAGATGGTGCTAAAGGTGCTAATAAAATTAATTTGATGGCCCAAGCCAATTTTGTAATGGTTAAATGCTATGTAATGGAAACTGCCAGATAGAGCTGATAACATACCAATATGTGGCTAGAAGAAATTCTATGGTTTAGGGTGAAAAAGAGGCATAAAGATGTAGCTGCTTACACAAGAAAGGAGGAGATACACATGAGTCAAGAGGTTCTGCATCTGGAGTAGGCCAGAAAAAAAGAGCACGTTAGAGAAGAATCAAAAGCCTCAAGAAATGCAGAATATGCATTCAGGGTTGATGGCTGGTGGTGATGAGTTTGTAGTTAAGCAAGAATAATGCAGTGTTCAAGTCATACATTCCTGAAATGTTATTAAACCACCGGAAAACATGCTCTTTGTATGAACTGGAGAGAGTCCAGTGTTATGGGTGTCTATAAAGCTTCCTTGAGAAGCTTAAGGAGACAGAAGAAAGGAGGTGAAGTATGCAGTCATCTTCTCAAGTTTGCTCAGCTCTTCCACGTGCTCCCAGTTTTCAAGCTGTGGCTCTGATCACAGTGGTTTGTCCCCATACCTTAGGTCACACAAGTGTCTCAACCAGGGATGTGCCTGGACACAAGGACCAGCTGTGGTCCAAACTCCAGGTGCAGTTAACACTGAATTCCAACAAATCTCTATGGCTATAACCTACAGAGACCGGTCTCTGAATATCTAGCTTTTCCTGTTGTGCTGGTACCTGGAGGAACAATTAAGGGATTAAGGTATTTGTATTTCTTTGCTTCTCATGTCCCTCATCTTGCTGTTTAACTTTTGACTCTGGGTTCAATTCTTTGACAGAACTCCCTGCAGACACAGAATTCTTGGAAGCCATAACCAGTGCTTTGAGGGCTCTCCTACAAACAATGGCGTCAAAGAACATCTCCCAGGTAAAAACTTTCTAACTCAAATACTCTGGTACGTTCGAAGTCATGTGAGATTGGGCTGGAAGGTTTTTGAAACAAAGCAATTTAAATGAAGTGCCAAATGTCAGCAGTTGTGAATACTGAAAGAACACATTTAATAGCATTAGCTCAGACTTTTTCATGGACCTTACAGGAATGCTTTTGTATATATTTCCCCCCAAAGATTTTAGAGTTTAAAGCCAGAAAGGACCAGAAGACAAGTCAAAACTCAAAAATGAGCTTCCATACTGTAAACTGCAACAAGTTGGAAGCAGCTGTTGAGCTAGGTAAATTCTTGGGCTCAGAACTTTTCCTTCAACTTCATGACAGCCTTGGCTATGTTCTGAAAGAAACACCTTAAGTTGAAAGATAGAGTTTAACTGTTTTCTTGGTAACTGCATTTTCAGAAGTCATGTAGTTTCCATAATCCAGGACTCTTTGTTTCTCTGTTATAAATTTCCCTGTATTCAGTAAAAGCAAAGTATCTCAGTGTCATATTTGAAAATTTCCTTGGAAATGTTAATGTGTTGTCGATCTTCCTTCTTTCCCTCCCTTCCCCTTGCTGAACAGTGTATGACTCCTGAGCAGCTCTTGGCTTTGTGTGAGGTTGGTATCCAGAGCAGCAATGCCAGTGTTCGAGTGAACATAGTGAGCATCCTTGGAATTTGTGGCAGTGTCCTGGCCAAAGGACAAGATACAGCTGAAACACTAAAGGTGAGAAAGCAAACTTTGCATTGCAAGCCTAAAACAGTTTTGGATACTACTTAAAATTTTCTCTAGCATCGCTGCAAAAAATCAATTTTTGTCTCTTATTTCAGATGATTGGAAAATTTCTTCTTGAGGTTGCTATGAAGGATTCTTCTCTTGTGGTAGCAGGGGAAGCCCTGGATGCAGTTTTTGATGTATTTGCAGATGGTAAAGAAGCAGAAGAAGCAGCAGTACAGATCAAGTTGCTTCCAACACTGAAGGAATTTCAGCCGGTGTTCAGAATGAGGGTAGGCATCAAGTGTAGCCAGCTCAGGGTCTCAACATTCAACATGGGTTAAAGCTTAGAGATTTGGGCTCCTGGAAGAGATAATTAAGCAGTAATGTATGACTTCATATGATGGCAGAAAAGAAGAAAAAAGTATTTAATTTTCTGATATTCCACTTCAGAGGAAAGCAAATACCCTTACCTTAAAGTTCATGGAAGTGTCAAGGTAACAGCACAGCACCTGCATTGCAACACCTGCATTACACCATCAGTGTTACTGATGTCCAAATCACTGTATTGTTCTGAAACACTTGTAAAAAAGTCCTGTGGATGTCTCTGGTGGAGAGATTGGTGTGAGAGAAGTCCCTTCTGAAGTTACATTGACATCTTTTTGTTTTAACTTGTCGTAGTTGCAGGTGGATGTTTTTGTTCTGTTGTTGACTAATTAAAACAGATCATGTATTCTGTATTTTCAGGAATGACAAGGCCAGTATTCTAAACTGTAATTGCAGGCACATCCTTGTCTTAAATAGAAAATGACCTTCCACATGTTGTTTCTTTGGTCAGATGAAGCCTGAGACTTTTGTAGCCTAAAAGCTAAGCACTGTACAAAACACATACCTGGTGGTGCATCAGTTGTTTGGTTAGACGTGCAAGGTTTTCTGTCTGAACAACTACAGAAGATATGTGTTTCAGATTTTTGAGTGAACTAGCATGCCAATAGGAATCTAGTCTTAGGCAGCAATGTATTCTAGTAAATTGGCTTGCAGAAGTAATGGCTAGCTCCACATGTGCACATGGAGAGAGAACTTGGAGTTCTCAAAAGCCATGGGTGGCATATCTGGATAGAATACCTATAGAGAGAGAATTGCAAAAAACTTGGGGTGATCTGATAGGAGAAACTCCTCCGTTAGTAAAACCTGTGTTTTTTGGTTTTACAGATGCGAAAAGAAGGCAAAGGACAATGTAGTACAGATCAACTGTGTGTTCTTGACAATGTGAAGATGAATTTGAGAAGATTCATTGAATATCAGGAGACACTAGGCAAAACCCCAACTTGAAACATCGAGGAACATTTAAGGTTTCCCTTACTGAGTAACGTTTTCACAAAATATAACTGTTTTGAACTTCTGAAATTTACTGAGCAGAGCAGTTTTGCTTTCATGTTAATACTGCATTTTCTAACATTCAGTATTTGTACACTTCTGGGTTGCTGCAATATGAAAATCACATCAGTGTAAAACCAGCATAGCACACTCCGAGACTGTCGCAGTGATGAGAAGATGCTCTTGCAGGCCTGAGGTCTATAAAGCACCACTGTCATTCCTTAGAAATCTTCAAGTATCCTGGCAGAAAAATATAATTTCATGAGAAAGTTATTTAGGGCATATTCTCAGTTATGTGCCAGATCAAGAAAAAAAAAAAAAAGCTCAAGATATTTTTCAGGGAATCGAGCAGTGGCAGAATGTTCCTGTTTGCTATTTGCTCTTACCTGTTCCTAGAATTGCACAGGCACTTATGGCAGACTTCCCAAGAGAAGTGTGTGACAAGTGTGTAGATTACTGTCAGCACTTGGATCTGTTATTTCATGAGGTTTATCAAGGAGAAAACTGTTTCAGAGTCATTTGCAATAACTTCAGTGCGAGAGCTTCTGGCTGTGGAACTCAGTGTAAGCAGATCCTGCACTTACAGCTGCCTGGTTTTACTTGGTTTTGACTGGTGTTTCTGGAAATCAAGTCTTCTCATTTACCTTCCTTGTAATTCTGCATCAGGATGAGTTTGAATTCAGGGAAGTAGTAAACCTAATAAAAAGTATTTTTTATACTGAGGTGTTATCTAAAGTCAATTTATAATTGCTTTAAATACCTTCTACAGTTATTTGTGATGGCATTTTTTAAACTGTAAAATACAAAAACTATTTTTGAAACATGTCACTGATTCATGTGGATTGTATGTGAACATACATCAAAAGCTTTGGTTTTGTTTCTGTGAATGAGATTATCTCATACACATTTTTCAAGGGAAAAAACCCCACAGTCAAACACAAAAGCATTTTGTTATGCTGATTTTTGAAAGGGGAGTTTATTTCTCTCTCTCTCTCTCTCTCTCTCTCTCTCTCTCTCTCTCTCTCTGTCAATGTGCTGCCTTAGCACAGGCATCTAGTTTTTGGCAAAGTTTTGCCCATGGTGTTAAGCATAGAACTTCCAAAGACCAAATTTGCTCAGTTTGTTAGATTTCAGTCTCTAAGATTGGAACACAGACTTGGGAACTGACTGGATAACTTGCAAATGACTGACTTTATGAAATCCTGACATATGGTATTTTGTCAAATGTAAGAGAAAGTGAGAGATGAGTTTAAGCAGCTTGGAAGTCCTGTTATTGCTGTTACTTTACAGGAGTTGGATGAAATGTGTGATGTGGTGCCTGCTAATCAAATGAGTAAGAGTGCAGGATTGGGAGGGCTCAAGGCTGTTGAGCCTGGCCTGGAGAACTCCAGGAGAAGTCATGAGGAGCACGGCGTGGTTGAAGGGTTATCCTGGGATTTGGCAGAGCAGGCAGTGAAGAGGGCTGGAGTGTTAACAGCTGAGGAAAGGTGGATTATGGCAGAAGACTGCACAGTGTGTGGATTTTAATCCTGGTGTTAGTTATACTTGCAGTACATTGAAAATAGTATAACATTAGTCTGATGAAAGGTATTTATTTGGAGCACTTAAAAGACTTTCATGTGGAAAGTTCTCTCATTTTCTGGGTGCTTGTCCTGGTTGAATTGCAGGATGATCTAGGTTGGAAAGGATCTCTGGAGGTCTCTTAGTCTAGTCCCCTGCTCAAAGCAGGACTGGCTCTGGAGTCAGATAGGTTGTGCTAGGCCTTGAACATCTCCAAGTATGGAAATCCTCCAGCTCTGGACAACCTTTTCCAGGGCTTAACTGCCCTCACTGGGAAAACATTTTTCTTCTTTTCCTCCTTGTGCCTTGTAGGACTTTCCCCTGGTGCACAATGCACCTCTTGTCCTTTTACTGCACACAAGAAGAGTTTGGCTCCATCTCATAACCCCCATTTGATAGCTGAAAACAACAATCACATTCCCCTCTTCTCCAGGCCAGATAAACCCAGCTGACTCAGCCCTTCCTTGTACGTCGTGTGCTTCAACCCTCTAACCATCCTAGTGCCTTCTGTTTGACCTGCCTTACTGTGTCTTGTGCTGAGGGGCCCAAGGCTGGACACAGTACTCAGGATGTGATCTCAGAAGTGCTGAACAGAGGGTAGTAATCAGTTTTCTTGACCCGCTGGCCATGCTTCTGCCAATGCAGCCTGTTACTTGTTAGCTGTCATCACTGCAAGGGCACACTGCTGGCTTCTCTTCAGCCTACTGACCACCAGGACTGTTTGGTCCTTCTCTCCAAGGCTGCTCTTTGGCCATTCAGTCGAGAGCCTGCTCTGCTTTATGGGATAATTCTGTCCCAAGTGTAAGACTTTGCTAAAGCCCTTACCACTGGTCCAAGGCAAAATGGAGCCCTCATCTTCCTTTGGAGTTTCTTTGATCTTGTAGTTATCTAATAATAATTAGCTAACTGCATATTTTGCTGTCCATACTTAGATTTCTCTGAATGGGAAGATCTTACTCTATCATCTGCCAGTTCAGTGTAACTTGCTCTTGGTGGCTGATGGAGAGCTTGGACTGAACGAGAGTAAAAGTTTTGTATGTTAATTTAGAGAGAACATTCTGCTTGTAAGGGGCAAGATGGAAATAATAGGAAAAGCATGGACAACTTTTGAAGACTTGTGTCTGTGGAAGACAAGGCAAGTTCACAGTGGTTTAAAGAAGTGTCAGATCATGGCCTAAAACCAGATGAGCTATACAGGGACAGAAGAGCTAAGCTGTGAGATTGGGGCTCTAACAGTTGTTCTGATGCAATTAAGGAAAATCAAGGCAGAAGTGATGATGTGGTGCAAATTAGATGTTTTGGTGGCTCTTTTGGTACTGATTTATGTCAACAGGTTTAGGGTAAGCTTCAGATGAAGGCAAGATCTTTGACAGTCTACAAAGGGAAAGGTAGATCTTGAAGAGGCTTTGAGGCTGGCAGAAATTGGACTGATCTAGACAGTGTGCAGCATAAGTAAATAGATGCTAAATAGATGTAAGTGATCTTGGTCAGTTCATGTAATCACACAGATAAGACTGGTATCAAAACAGGTATCGGAGTTTCTTTGCTTATTCTGGTCCCTAAGGCATCATCTTTCTGTGCTTCAGTTAAAAACTGCAATCCTTGGAAAGTATGGATTGCTGCTTTGTTCATCTCCCTGTCTGACACTGAGCACAAGAGGATGTGGCTCAGAGTTGAGCTGTAATACCAAAACAGTTGCTGAATTTACTTTGCTCTGTGGCATCAAGTAAAGAGTGTGAGGAGAGCTGTGGGCCCTGCTCAGAAGCAGTAGGACCACTGGCATTTGCTGCTGCTTTGGTCTCTGCAGTCTGCAAAATGTTGAATCCCTCATTGTGCAGATAAGGATTATCATTGCTATATGTTTGTTTTTTTTTCTCTCTACAAAGAGAAACTAGTGGCAAGATTTAACTAAGCATTTGTTGTGAAGTATTTTATACACATCATACCTTGACATTCAGAAGGTGGCTGTGTACCACAGTGGAGTCAATAGTTTAACTCTTTGGGGGTTGTGGTCTGTGTTGAAGGTGGGATTTTTGCACAGTGTGGGTTTTTTTTTAAAGATTGTCATCTTAGAGGAATCATAGAATCAACCAGGTTGGAAAAGACCTCAAAGATCATCAAGTCCAACCCTACAGTGGTCACCAGACCATGGCACTAAGTGCCACATCCAGTCTCAGCTTGAAAACCTCCAGGGATGGTGAATCCACCACCTCCCTGGGCAGCACATTCCAATGCCTGAGCACTCTCTCTCTAAAAAATCTCTTCCTAATATCCAACCTAAACCTGCCCTGGCAGAGCTTGAGTCTGTGCCCTCTTGTCCTAACAAGAAGAATAACTTCAACCAGTACTGCTTGGCTTGGTTTTCTTTGTATTTTGAGAGGAAAAATATATTAAAAAAATAAGAGAACAGTAAAAGTACAAAACAAGAACTGTGTTGGAGAACAAATTAAATAAAAATAGTTTTTAGTGTTATAAATGAAATGCATGTCCTGTGGAATGCCAGCATAAAACAACCAACTCAAAGTGCCCATAAACTCAAGTTCTGTTTCTTTCGTAAGTGATTCTCAGTGACAGCATTCCCAGAGGATTGGATAGGAACATCCAGCCTTACACTTGCTGTTGCAAATTCCAATTCAGGCAAGGGTAGTGTAATTGAAAATAATGTAATTCCTTTCTGGCACAGGTGAATTGAGCAAACAATCTAAATGTCCTTTGCGCTGGACACGCTACTAAAATATATAACATTAAGATAATTGGCAAAACCTGAGAACTCTGACAGTCACAGCAGATGAAGGAACTTGAAGTTTTTCCACCAGGGCTGACACATGGTTAGCCTTTCTGTTTGAAGAAGCTTTGCTTGAGCAGTGAGGGGTTTTGGTCTAATCTCCAAACAAATTCAAACTGTTAATTTTTGTCCCTTCTGGGAAAAATCGCAGGCAATTACATCAATTCGCTAGACTTTCATTTTGTTTCTGTATTATTTTCCTAAGTTTCTTGTTTCCGTGAGAGGCATTTTGTCAGGCATACAGACATGAAAACGCAGTTTGAGACTTGCACACAAAAGGATATGGTAAGATGCTTTTTTTCTTTTGAATCTGGGTGTCAGGAACTCCTTGTACTGCTGTTACATTAAGGGCTTGAGTCAAACCACTTGGGAACTGAGCTCAGATCCCACCGCAGTAATCTGTGAACTGTTGGAATGGTTGTGGCTGCTGTTTGTTCTCAGCTCAGTGAGGGTCCTGGTGCAGCCCTGGGGTTGTGAGGTGCTCACATAAATCCCTCTACCATGCTTAAAGAAGCATTGGGATTTTAGTAAACGTTCTCCTGGGTTTGTGTTAGTTTTTTGATAAAAGTCCCATCAAGAATTGTTTTCTTTCTCCTCTGACATGTGAATTTTGTATAACTTTTAAGGAATATTGCATTGGCCTCTCTCCTCCTCCCCATCCCTTCATATGGAGAGTGAAAGGCACTTCCAGAATGTAGCTGATTCAGCTAGTAAATGCGTGATGTTTCCAAGTAACCTTTTCTGAGAAGTTCTCTTTTTAGTAAGTAGAAGAGTTAAAATTCAAAGTTGTGATTAAAAAAAATCACTTGGACCTTGTTTAAGTGTGGGGTTTTGTTGGGTTTTATGCCTT